GTGCACACACACACACACACACACACTTAACTTTAAAACACTTTTAATAACCAAAAGTTAAAATTAAAAAAATAAATAACCAAGGTGGTCAACTTTTTCTTGCTTAAGATAAATGTTCCTTACTCTGGGTTTGGTTTGAGGGGTTTTTGCGGGTTTTTTTATAAAATAGAGACAGCTTTTGAAGGCAGAAGCCTGTGTCCTGAAAATTATTTATATAATCAAAATAAAAAATAAAGAAGAATTAACATGAAATTTAGTGTCAAAACCCATCTATTACATAAACATGAGGATATGTTTTGAATTCCCTAAACTTATCTTTTTTTCCTTGATAGCAACTACTGTAAAATCCTTGTGCTTCTGGATGCTGCGGAAGATCTCCCCACCCCGACTGGCCCAGCAATATGTGCTGCCCAGACCCCTTCCTCCCCAAAACAAAATGAACCAGATTTTTCACCTGCTTGCTTTCCCGTCTCAGCTGAGGCAGACACAGCCAGCGACGGCCAGCTGGGGGAGAGGGAGGAATACGTGGCAGGAGTTGCACCGATTTCCGCTCTCCCTGGAAGAGCTGGAGTTGCAGACCCTCTTTAGCACCCAGGAGCTCCCCAGTTTCCCTTTGGGCATTGCCTTTTTGCAAAAGCATGTCTGGAAGCCACAATGCAGCACATAAGGCATTTGGGACCCTTTGGAATGAAAGCTCGTGTAGGCCTTGTTGCCACTGACAGTAGCCTTTCTGGTGATCTAAACCTGAGGGATTACAGACTCAAAACTAAGCTCTTTCTTACTACTTTGCTACCTGGATTTTACCGGGTACCTTCCCAGGCTTACTATATTGTTTATGTGTAACATAAATCTATGTCAATAAAGCTTTATGCTATTCCACATTCACTTTTCCCCCTGCATATATATATCATCTGACAGAAAATGGTGAAAAAATGTCCTTGAAATACAATTCCTCTCCTCTAAGAGAGCATACTGACCTGTATTTTGGAGAACTCAGATATTTTGTGAATTATTACTTTCTGATGAAAAATAAGATTGCCACCAGGTATATTAACTTTTGCTGATGTTTGCTAAATTCTATTCATCCAACATTATTCACACAGGACAGCTTAATCACAAATTAAATCCATCTTTTAATTACATATCAACATAATAAAATTTTTCCAGTAATTAACATTTCTATATGCTGAGTGTGCAAGTTTCAGCAATCGTAGTCATCCTCAGGAGAAAAAGCAAAGGTAACTGGTGGCATGCTAACTGCCTGAATTGCTTCTTTCTTGAGTGTAATGAGTGAGAGTTATTAATCACTCAATTTTATAAATGATTTGTGTCCTGATAATGACAGAGGCTTCTGTCACAGGATGCTTCAGGGTGGGACTGGGTTCAGCTCTTACTGGAAGAAAGCAACAGTCTCTGCCTGGGCCTTGTATTCAGTTTATGCAACCAGCAGAGAAGAGGGTTTTCTCTGGTTTTTTTTTCTATTGTTGTGTTATTATTGTAGATTAATCTGACTGTCACATATATTTAGACTCACCTAATGTTTTTAAGTCTAAAACCCTCTTATTCTACATTAAAAAATTATCGCTCTACAGAATTCAATTATTCAAGCTAAAAATTTTCATATTAGTGCTTTGCCGCAGGCTGACTTTTTTAAAGCTTTAGCTAAACCAGCCTTTTTAGAGAAGATTAGCACAAAGTAGACAACTCTATCAAATTTATAATGGCTGTGCTACCAATTTTTTTGAAAGAGCCTTGAAGCACTAACAAGTGAGTTCTGAAACATCTCCTTATTTCCTGTCAAAAAATCCGTCTTTTAAAGCAGAATCTCAGGATTTTCGGATTCTTAGTACATACTTCATAGAGATGTTACAAGCTTTCTGTTCTGATCAAAAATCCTATCCCTCAATACTCCTTAAGTGCCAACATGCTCCTCGATCTACAAGTTTTCTGTAAGGTCTGTGGGTCAGGCAACAGTGGCAAAACCCCGATACCCTTCAGTCAAAAGCAGAAGTTGTGCTGTTCTGGCTGCCAGAACAGGCCGTAAGATTTTGTCCCAGATGTTAGTGATGTGTGTTAGTATTTCTTAACACCTTTTAGCCCTTATTACTGAATAAAGCCTCTTCATGTAGCTTACAGATTACACCAGACTGACTTCCACAGAATGACTTCCACACCATTTTACATAAAGAGTACCAAGCAGCTGCAAAGTCAGATAACAGGACACACTTTAGTGTGGCAGACAGACGTTTTTGCCATGTGTCCACACTGCTTTTCAAATTCCGTGTGTTGAGTCTATATATTTGGCTAAACATCGTTTCCTTCTTCCATCCAAAGAAGGAAGAGCAATGAAGGTTAGCTGTGATCCTTTAGTCTCAAAACTTATGTCAATGTCTTCATTAGCTGAGATGTTTCAGAGGTGAAGATTGATGACCATAGCCAGGTTTGTGTACAGCTCTTCTTTAATTTGCCTTTTTCAAGGAACTATCTACAATAGTTTTACTGGTTATCACATAAGTGCTCTCCAGTTAATTTCTGCAGCCCATTCCACCATCTTCATTTGCCATACAAAATGTACACCACTGTAATTAAGGCTTGTAAGATGTAAATGGAGGGTAAACTTTAACAGTGGCATCTCTTATTGGTGTTTGGAATCCTAGTTTATGTGACCTAACACTCAAATCCCTCTCAATCAAACTGATCAGTTGTATTATCCATATTTAAAAGATCTTGTTTTGCTTCAATAAATAGTTATCATAATCCCCATCCCATTGAATTATTAAAGTTTTCACTGCACTGAGTGTGAATACATTTTTTCAATGGCAAAATATGAGAGTATTACATTAAAACTCAATACATCTGGAAACATGCTATAAGAAGAGAAAAAGGGTAAGGCATTGCTACTTTTTAGTCATATCCTCCATATATGCAAGCATATCACTCTTTTGCACAATCCTTGCTGTTCATATCCATTTCCATAAACTGTGAATTACAAGCCCCAAAATGCCTGTGGAAGGAATTTTTCCATCAGCCATGCAAGCAGCGGCTTCCTTCAGTTCCCTCCTCATGCCCACGTGCTCACGGCCGAGACCGTGGTGCCAGCTGTACGCCTGACCCGCCAGTCAGCGCCAGTCAGTCAGGAATCCACTGGATCTGACTTAGCATACCCTTTGCATGCTTGCCTAACATTTTAAGCTCCAATTAGTTGCAATTTATGTCCACTATCACCCTATTAATTCGCACTAATACCTGAGGTGACCTTTCTGAACCAGCCGAATCTTTCAAATTAGCAAATTACAATGCTTCTGAACAACATCATGCAGTAATTAAATTTGTGTTGGTCAGAAATCTGGAAAAGTTGCCATGTTTTCAAAATGTACAAAATTTCTCCATGGGGCGAACTTCAGAGTGATTCCCCACTCTGGAAACCTTCTTAAGAATGGGGGAAGTTTTTGGCTTTGCCTTAATAGATTCACAGGTTAATTTGTATTGTATTGTGAAAAGGCCTATTTGTAGCAGCATTTCACTAATATTTTGTGCAGTGTGAGGATAAGTATTTCATATTTATGCTTAAGTTTTCATATTTTTGTTAAAATTTAAATTTTATGTTCATTTAAAATTCTTAAATTTGTGTTTAAATTCTAAAAAGATGTAAATTTTCATATTCATGTTTAAATTTTATTTATATTTAACAACTCCATCCACCTTCTTTGTCCAAAAGCAAAAATATCTAGAAATAGTTGAATATTTCAATTGCAAGCCGATGGCAGGCAATTACAATTGCATCTCAGTGAAATGTCTTCTAATGACAGGCAAACTGAAGACAGATACTAAATATGTCTTCATATATTCAAAGAGTAAAATCAGTTCTGCTTAATAGAACTAACACATCTAACAGCCAGTTTTAATGTCTTTCCAGGAAATAATAGGGAGGAGAAACAGAAAAAGTTTCCCTGCAACTGTGTAAACTGCCTATTATTATTGTGTTGTGTATTTTTGAGTATAAAATTAGCATGAAATCTATTCTTTTCAAACATCTGTAATGGCTGTCAGCTGAGAACATGCCTAACTAACCACATGCACAGCTTGATAAATCCTTTAATTGATTTCCTAAATCAAGTTTAGGTGAACTCCAGTCTGTGCATATTCCAAACTATGACACTGACTGGTTCCATTATTTTAAGGGAAATGTCCCAGATCAATTTTAGATACTACTTTTAAAAAAACCCCAAAGAGCACAGTTATAAGAAGTCATGGTGAGGAACACAAAAGCTCACAGAGAGTAAGAAATTTATGATTGTAGTATCTGGGTCAAATAGCAACAAAGAATAGGAAAGATTAAGGATTAAAAATTGCCTGCAATATATGTACGATGATGTGAAAATAATCCTGATTATAACAATTGTATGTTTATATAGAAAAAGTTTTATTCTTGTGCATTAGTGCAATAAAGGCTTCACTTCTTTATCTCTGGGTTTGAAGAGATGGGGGAAAATGAGTAAACTGTCAGCTGGAATTAATATTTTGTCATAAATATTTATAGCCCACAGAAAACAATTGTGCGATTCTTTAGGATTGAGCTAATTAGTTATAGATTGCATTCTAAATGTGTTAACATAATTGTTTTGCAGAAGCTTTGGCTTTCAATAAATTAATATTAAAATACTTGGGTTATAATAAATGCAACAGAAGAAACATTTCTCAGTCCAGTGAGTGAACATGAGAGGTTTCCTTCCACTTGTTCCACTTACTACGTCTACCCTCAAGGCTCTCTTTTTGTAAGCCTTGATATATGATGCTTCTTTTGTTTCACATTTCAAAATTAAAACTATAAAGCATAAATTCTTACTAATAGAAAACCATGACTTAACACGCCTACATCACTTAGAAGGACATGCATGCAGTGAAGGCATTGATATGTTTGAAGGGAGTTTCCAAATCCCAGGGTGTTTAGTCTCATTTTTTTAACCAAAGAATACTTATAATAAAACAAAAGACAATCATTTGTAGGTTGCAAGTCCCAGATCTTGTTTATTTATAAAGCAATAAATATTAGAAGCACAAATAAATTGCACGGGTGTGTAAACAAACTGTACAATGACTGAAGAGTTCAGGAAGGGTTGCCAGAAGACTCCAAGAAGCATATTGTCGTCATCCTGAGTGGGAAGTAAATTGAGGGGAAAAGCGCTTAGAAGCACTTGCGGTGGACAATGGATGGACCAGCTTCATCATACTCTTGTTTACTGATCCACATTTGCTGGAAGGTGGACAGGGATGCCAGAATGGAGCCACCAATCCAGACAGAGTACTTGCGCTCAGGTGGGGCAATGATCTAAGATAAAGAAAAGCAACAGAATCCTCATTGAACAGTTACATTTCTGAACAACTAACGCACATCACCAATGTAACAAACCTCTAGATATTTCCTTAATAAAGAACTTTTCTATAATAACAGTATTGATCTTCAGCAGCTGGTACAATACATGTAATACTCCTTAAGAAAATCTATAACCATATTTTCTTCTTTTCTAACACTTGCAATATAATTATGCTGATTAAATGGAATTTCTTCTCATTTGTCCATCAGCTGTTGATCTCACTTTTGAGTTGTTCCTATATCCCAGCTTAGTGATATGGACATTTTCCTCATCCTTACCCACATTTTAGAGTACAGAGTGAAATTCCTCACCTTGATCTTCATAGTGCTAGGAGCAAGTGCAGTGATTTCCTTCTGCATACGATCAGCAATGCCAGGGTACATTGTCGTTCCACCTGAGAGGACGTTGTTAGCATACAGGTCCTTACGAATATCAATATCACACTTCATGATACTGTTGTAGGTAGTCTCGTGAATACCAGCGGATTCCATACCTTAGGAAGAAAGAAGACAGTAGATCAGTAAATTATACAAGAGGTCTTCGTGACGAGAACTCTCAGCGTTTCTCGTCATCATTAATATGTACTGCTATGATCTTTTTGTTGTAAAATTACTTACTGATTATTCAACATAATAGAAAAACATAGAAAAAAAAAGAATTGCAGAACCAGCTAAGAAAACAAAAATTATTTGTGAGAAAGGGTAAGAATCACAATGCCTGTGCAAAGGAAAAATACTCAAAATATATAGTAAGAGAAGAGGTAGACACACAACATAAACTCATTTAGTATATGGCAGTGGGAGACAGTTATATGGAATAGAAGACATGAGTACCAGGTTATGTCAGAGTCTCACAAAAAGCATTAGTTGACTATAGAAAAGACAGCAATAAAGACAATGAAAGCAGTGGAAGTAGAGCTAAAGAAGACAATAGTTACTTCATTTCTTTTTCAGCCTACTCAAAACACAGTCTATTTATAAACATCAAGGCAAGACATAAGCAAGATATGGACCAAGATATTAGCGCTTGGTGGTAGGGAAAAAGAAACCAGAAGCAAATGTTTGTAGGCTGCATTCCAATTTATTAATTTTAACAGGTGCTTCCTGAAAGGGCTGACACTAGATCCACAGTAAGATGTCAGCTGATGAACAACTGCATTTATTGCTCAGGACTTAGAGCATAAGCATTTGCTATATCTGTCAGCTGCACTCACAAACAGCAAAGCTTGCCATCTTGACCACGGCAATGTTCAATTGCAGTGCATATAAATATACACACACCTTCATGCCATTTTTTTACCCCTCCCAGACACTTTACTTCTTCTTGCAGTCGGATACTGTTCAAGTGTAAGCTTTACAAATACAGCACTGGAAGCTATTATTTCCATTGTAACATGATGATATTCTAACTGCATTTTATCATGAAAAATTGTGACCCTAAAACCTGGTCTAAAACTTACAAGAAGACCCAGCTGAGCTCACATTAAGCACAGCTTACAGGGACCAGACAATCTAACTCATTATTTGTGTTTGATTTTGTGCCAAATTTAGATAAGCAGGAAGAGGAGCGGGACACCTTCTAGATCTTCTGATTCATTCATACCTGCTACTGAAAGGAGAATTTCCTGGGAACACTTACCAATAAAGGATGGCTGGAATAAGGTTTCAGGGCAGCGGAAACGTTCGTTACCGATTGTGATCACTTGACCATCAGGCAGTTCATAGCTCTTTTCCAGAGAGGAGGAAGAGGCAGCAGTGGCCATTTCATTCTCAAAGTCCAGTGCAACATAGCACAACTTCTCTTTGATATCACGAACAATCTCACGTTCAGCTGCAGATATACAGGAATCAAATCAAGGTTTGGACAAGCAAAATATAGAGGAAGAAGATGGACCAAGAGAGACAGGATTTTCAGAGGAGGACAAAGCTGAAGGACTGACCTGTTGTCACAAAGGAATAGCCACGCTCCGTGAGGATCTTCATGAGGTAGTCAGTCAGATCCCTACCAGCCAGATCCAGACGCATGATAGCATGAGGCAAAGCATAACCTTCATAAATAGGTACATTGTGGGTGACGCCATCGCCAGAATCAAGAACAATCCCTGGGAGAGAAATGTCAGAGAGCAGTTGGGATCACCTAGCAAACACTTAGAGCCCTTAGGCACAGTGAGCAGCAACAAACACAACCAAATATAGGATTTTTCAGGCACTATAAAGTAGCATCATTCTATTTTAGCCATAAAGATCTTGCCCATTCCTTCTGCCTTTTCTTGCCTGGAAATTCCTGTTTGCTGTGAACTTTCCCATAAAACAGCTGGCCCTTACATGTTTTAAGCTAATCCATACGAACAGCCTTCCACTGCTACTACACTGAGCAGTAAGTTATTTGCAATAGTGATTGGGTTTGGTCCAACAATGGGCATTTTAAAGCCTTAAACTGGTGTAATACTTGTGTAACTGCAGTATCTTCACAGGAATGTCTCCTCGCTTGTGTCATCACAAGTGGCATGAGAATTAGTTCCACAGTGCCTCTCAGAAAGCAATGCAGACAGGTCCACATTGTTCTGTCCACAGACTATTTGGTACTGGCTTTTCTGCTACTGTTATCATCAATTGCTATAAGTGAAAAATGCCTTTCTTTTTTTTTTTTGTAAATTTGAATGAGTTATGAGGGGTTTTTTCCCTATTTGGAGTGAGAAGGAAGGAGGGTTCCCAAAAGGAAAAATCTAAATACTGTTTATTTTTTTTATTTTACCTGTTGTACGACCAGAGGCATACAGGGACAGGACAGCCTGGATCGCCACATACATAGCAGGTACGTTGAAGGTCTCAAACATTATCTGGGTCATCTTTTCACGATTAGCTTTAGGGTTCAAGGGGGCTTCTGTGAGCAAGGTAGGGTGTTCCTCAGGGGCCACACGGAGTTCATTGTAGAAAGTGTGGTGCCAGATCTTCTCCATATCATCCCAGTTGGTGATGATGCCATGTTCGATGGGATATTTCAAAGTAAGGATACCTCTTTTGCTCTGAGCTTCATCACCCACATAGGAATCTTTTTGACCCATACCAACCATAACACCCTAAGAGAAGAAAATACAGAAGAGCATTATTTGAGGAAGACAACATCACAGAGCCCAAACAATTACATCACAGTCAACTATGATATTTTGAAGAAAGGTACAAGCAGTCACACCACTAAAAGGTTGTTTAGGAAAAGAAATTAGCATTATTAAAATATTAAGTCAACAGAATTTGAAGTTTTCTCATAAAATCCTTTTTTCTTTAATCAGAAATGGAAGGGTTTTTTTCCCTTTTTTAATGCACCTCTTATTTTCAATTACTTCTTTCTGGTCCAAAAGTTTGACTGAAAGTAAACTGCAGAATATCATGAGCAGGAGAAGATACAGAGACATAGAGAGTCTATAAACAAGAAGATACAGAGGGAAATGAGCCTTCTAGTGCAGGAAGATACTCTATTACTATGGAGCCTCAGCAGTAATTTATTCACAATAACAGAGTACAAATTGCAAATGTTTTAGGGTGGGGTTTTTTTGGGGGAAAAAAAAAAAAAAAGCATTACAAACTTTTTACCAAGGAAATTGTAGGAGAAAAAGTACTGTATTCTCTATATGCTGATCTAACTGTGACAAAAGAGAGGGAGAATGAAACAGGAACAGAGAAAAGTTGGCTTAGAGAGCAGTGAGAAGGTAAGATCAGAGACAGACAAAGCAGAGCAAATGGAAACATCGGACAGGATGAGTGGGAAGGGACTTAACCAAACTGCATCGTGTGCAAATTCAGCCAATGGAGATGCCTTTGAACTAGCACCAGGTCTGGCCTTGGGGATGGAGTGGGCAGCAGCTTTGTAGGAAGCTGGGTTTGGGCTCATTAGAGGAGAGAGCAGGGAGAGTCAAGAGGAAAGTTGGTGAATTAGAAATAGCTGGGAGAAAGGGAGGCAGTGATAGAAAGGAGATCAGGACAGCCCAACAGGGGAGCTGAGGGAAGCACTGGAGAGAACTGGAAATGCATCACTCGTACCACCGCAAGCAGTGAGCAGAGGGAAGGGCAGGGTATTTGGGACCGGACAGAACTAAGGAGGGAAGGGGGGAGTGAAGGCGACTTCTGGAGAGGGAGGGAAGGCTCTGTCCTGGCCCAGTCCTGCCCTCCGTATTTACCTGGTGCCGCGGGCGGCCG